TATATTTATATAATATATCTATCAATATTTAGTGACATGGTTGATTCTTTAACGATTAACGAGTTATAACTTTAGGGAGTATATTTTATTAAATTTAATTATTATTTTGATTGCAGGTATATAGACAATATTTTATACTGTATTTACAATTTAGTTAATACAGTTTGGTATTACGTTTGTCGGTGTTGAAAAAAAAATGATCAAGTCATGAATAGCTATCATAGAAGGGATTTATTAGATACCTAAATAGGTTCTTCAATGTTCAACAATGATCGTAAAAAATGATTATTATGATTRCCTATATGTTATTCATAAATTTATTGCATAGTCGGAATAATGTGTTTCATGAAGAATAGGTACTTAAAATAACAAAAAACCATTTTATCACACAATAATGATATGGTCAGGACAGATACTAAATTACTAATACAGTAATAATATATATATATACTCACAATTTATGTGAAAGGTACATTATTCTTCTAATAACAGTCTACATTATCTATTTATCTATACTTTTGTATATGAAATCAGAAATGAGTATCTTACAAAGGATAACTGTATATCATATAYTTGATTATGTAATAACAGATATCAAAATATAAATAGATGAGAATTACTCGAGAATCGCCATCAAGGATTGTTGGTAACTATTATGTTTTTAACAAACCCATGTGCATATACAAATTTTCAAATGCAATATAGGTAGCTACTTTTTAAGTTTGTTACTTGTCTTGTACAGTATTGCGGTACATATATAAACAGTATACGTTTCAAAATACTGAACAATAGTGATGAGATCCACTTATTAAATAACGAAATATTTAAAACCGTATTAGGTACATTACTTATATTTTTTATGTTCAATATTATTTCAGACGTAAATCTGATATTATCGTCTAACGAGATTTTCAGTACCTATTGTACCTAGTTTGGCAATCAAAATAATCAGAACGTATACGATTGTTAAAATATTATAACATTGTCTATGTATGAATATAATACAAGTATGATATGTATTATATTGCATTTTTCGTCTATTGTGCTGTTTGGGTAATATATTAAATAAAAATAATAAAATAGCTGTGTATCAAAAATCGATATATTTTTATAAATTCTATTAACAATTATAATTTTCACGGTTTTTTTTTTTTTTTTTTAATGAACGCCCATTTTTAGTATCATCGCTTTATATCAGCTCCTAAATACGCTTATCCGTCATGAATATATTAATTCCAATAGGTATCTTCAGAGGGGATTTGCATGTACAATGCAAACGTATAATATCGTAATTTATAGGTATCTGTATAGACTAGGTAGGTATATAATTATAATATAAATTGGTATTATATATACCTTGGTAATTATTAATTAATTATAAATAGTTATCTCTCTTCACATGGTATAGTATACGCATATATTCGCCATAAACACTTCAATAATTTGGTCAAGGATTTGATTTGGTCAAATTCAAAATATGTTTTTTATCATGACCTGACCTCCGCCTGGATCACGAATTTAAAAACGCATACTTCGTTGTCCACTGTCCTCGTCCCATAAATATTTACTACGAACAATTTCCGCATAAAGTATATTATATTTTAATTACAACACTTAACTAGATAGTATATTTTCTCATGCATAAAAAAAATAGTTAACAATTAAAGTAGACTGTATAATATTATATTATTATATTTATACCTACCTATTATTAACATTTCGTATTACCAGCCGCTAGATTACACTTCGTACACTGTTCAAACTATATGGACTATTATTTAACGATTCATATCAGAGTAGACGCAGTCCCAATAAATTTTTGGACATGGCCGTCGAAAGACTGGTAAACGATGTCAAATTAAAATACATTTAGATAGTGCATGTATAAATAAATTGCTCACTGTTGTTAGTCTTAACTGTATATAATGTTATTGTGGTCACTGATCGCCGTGCTGATATGTTATTATACCCATGCAATGATGGACGTTTTTTAAAATATTTATTTGAAAGTATATATTAAATCAATCAATTATGTCTGACCTTAGGTATGTATATTTTACTGAATAAGAGGGTTGGACGTAAAGTGTCAACAGTCAGTGCGGACACTAACAAATCAAAAAAAAAAATTTACTTGTGTGGCAAGTGTATTTTTTGCGTTTATTTTTCATCCCTGCAGTAGTTACCTGTCCATCAACTATACATAGGCCTAAACCCCGAGGGACACAGTGCTGAATCTACAGTGTGTCTATAATATTATTACAGTCGAGTCGCGATAACTCGAAAAACTTGACAACTCGAATTTTTTTTATTCCCCTTGACAGTTCTTCCCCTATTAATTAGTTAAATATCTTGAATAATACATATATCGAATTGAATTTTTATCCCCCTCCGACTTCATGTTATCGCTACTCAACTGTATTAGAGAAAACTGAAAAGGGGTACTATAAATGCACATAAAACGCATTTTTCGTTGCAGTCTGACGTTCTAACCTTGATAATATCGAGCATCATCATCTCCGATGATACCGTCATCGTCATCGGGACTTCCGTCGTAAAGATTTTCGGCGACATTTTTCTGAATATTTTTATTATTTATACCGACGACACTGGCCGTCAAATCGTTTCCGCCGTCGGTCGGCAATAACAACTGTGGCAGACCGATTTGTTGCACGCTCCCGCCCGCCCTGTTCAGACGCTTTTGCAGGTACTGCGCCAGTATTTGCTGTGTAATGCTATTCTGCCTCACTAAATCACCACCTACACACAACAAACAGACAAGAATTTCAAGAGTGGATAACACATTGCGATTCACATGGGTATAGGTATATATTAGAACACATCGGTGCAATAATTAGGTATTAAAAAAAAAAAAAACTAAAGCATGCTGCTACTAAATATTTTTCCCCAGTAAGGAAAATTGAGGAATCATAGATACTATGTTTTTTGGGTATGGCGTTATGGAAAAATATCTATAATATGGTTGCATGCCACATTTTTGTTAATGGATTTAATATAAAATAAAATGTTTTTTTCTTATTCTACCTAGCTGATTTGCGTTTCTTTGGAAATATACAAAGCATTACGAAAATCGGTAAGAAAATGAGTTGTACCTATCTAGCACATAAACATAATATATAAGGTATATTATGTTAATAATAACATAACAATATAATAAACAATAAGCACAATAAATAATCATAATATATTATAATTTAAAATTATATTACGTGTAATGTAAAATATATTTTATAATGGTAGTAGGTATGTAGGTTATCAAGTTTTATGTACGTAGTATTGCACGCGATGTTACGATAACGGAATTGGATGGATAGTACAGCTAGGTAGACACGCGAAATGTATTGGATGGAAGGTAGATAAACCTACTAAGCAACTAAGGTATATAATATAGGGATATAGGATTATTCACCAATYGCGTTCAATCCTGTTGTATTTTTATTTTATGCTTTAATTTGATTTATGATTTTTGGAATTTTAAAGTATACTTAAGAGGATATGCCCCACGTATCTAAATACCTAAAAGTATCCAACTTATATATTACGTACATGTAGGTACAACATGAAAAATGTATGTTCTGCAGAACAAATTCTTTGTTGGTCTCTATAATATTGAAGTTAATATATAACTAGGTACGTAATGTATAAAAATTTTAAGATTCTCATGACACATCAAATTTAAATTTAAATACGGATAAAAGCCTAAATAATATTCTTATTACTTTATAAATTTGATATTGCTATAAAATATAAATACAACATTGGTTCTGCTTAACGCAAATTTGGTACCTATATTATATGTTTTATAAGATAGAGATAATACACATGATGTAAGTACGATGTACTCAGAGGCGGATTAGCTAAGGGAGTTGTGGATATATATTATATATAACTCCCTGGGCTGGTGAAACCAGGGCTTGTTACCTATAGGTACAAGGTGTAACAGAAAGATCTGACAAATTAAATAACTTATTTTATAATCAATATTAAATTTCGTTTTTGTATATTTAATTTATAAACTCTTTCACAACAAATACAGAAAAACAATTTATTTTCTATTATTTAATTCTGAAATTTGAAAGTGAAAAAAATTTAAGCTGTAAAAAATTTATTTTTTTTTTCGCATGACCTGCAGGGGAGCTGAGGACCATGTCTTCGTCGGTTTTATTTTTATTTTTTATTTTTTTATTATTGTTACAGCATCAATAACATTATTATTAGCTTACAATTAGATTTCTTTTTCTTTTTATGATAGACACTATTTTTGTATCAATACGTAGTTATAGGTACATCCATATTTCATAWACAATTAGTATGAAGTATATACAATATGAGTACGTCAATAATAGACTCATCATCTATGATAACATAAATATACATATTATATGTGATAAATATGACACAGTAATAAAATTTGTATTTATAATGTTTATTGATATATTTTTTAGCCCCCTTTTAGAAATCATGGTTATACATCACTGTATTATGTAGAGAATTTTTAGAAATCACTCGTTTCGAATTTAGATTTAGATTAAAGTTACATTAAAATATTTAAAAAAAAAAATATCTTTTAAGTTTTACACAATTTAAAGCAAAAAAGGGAGGTTCTGATTGAAAAAATTAAGTTTTTATTGCTCGGCAGTATTGTTAGATTATTTACTAAAAAAATTAAAGAATTTGAAATGAATATGGTGGTTCGATGTGATTAGCAATTCCATAAATTAAAATATGAATAAATGTTTAAATTACGGATATTATGGGGGTGAACACGATTGGTGAATCACTTAAAATATATTATATATATCATGCCACGAGGGCGGATCAGCTAGGTATATATTATATGTTCGTATTGCACGCTATGTTACGCGAGCGTAGATAGCTAGGTATAGGCATGTGCGCGCAATGTATAGAATAAGTACTTATAGCTACACTATGGCACTATTGTATGGGTAGATACACGATAATAATAAATAGTACCTACGCGACGTTTGAAGAAAAATTCGTTACGCCAACGAAATATACATACCAATGTGTGAAATTTATATATAATGTGAGTATTTTCTGATTATATAGATCGTCATTACTTTAGGTAGGTAAATATAAATATAATACGTACCAACTGGCAACTATATAATATGATGGTATTATATGATCAAACACTAGATAATACTGGATATAATTACTGCATAGCTGTTATGATGACAAAAAGTAGATAGATATCATATATGGCCATACAGGTATAATATTATATCATCATACATATGGTCAAATGGACATTATAATTTGTCGAAAGTCTGTACAATTTTAACAACTGTAGAATTTTTTCAATAACCGACGTAATAAAACTTTTTTCCTATACGTATCATCTTGAAATTTTTGAATGTTTTGTTGTATTATATACTCTATATTCTATTTTGCACACTCGTTCTTGAAGTATGTATCATAGTATATCGTGTTAAATCGATTTTACAGCAAAAGACAAAAGCATTGTATATTGGTACATCGGTATAGGTATAATATAGTGCAACTTACGTAATTATACGATTAGTCCACGTATATCAGGCCTGTAACCTGGTATGCATTTTAAATAAATGTCGTATTTTATTACACTTGTATTATAACACTATTAATACTTGTGCCGGCTGTATTGTATTTATTATTTTTTTTTAATAATGCAAGACCAACATTTATCTCAAACATTTTGCAATACAATACTGACAAGTGTTACATTTCGTTTCGACGATCTTTACACTATACATAATATATGCTTATAATCAATCAATAAAAATCTATTATTTGCATCCATATGGCAATATTCGTTGAACAACAAAGCACTATTAAGAAAGCACCCATTAAACACTTAATATTAATATATTATAACTTACAAGAACAGAATACAACACGAGGTGATTGTTTTCATGATACCGCGGTCACTATAACTATTACTGCAGTACGCCGTGTGTGTGAAGTGTAGGTACCTAACCTATTATTCATCATTATACAGTAGGTATTTAATAGTTATCACTATACAGAGGAAAGTTGAGTATAAAAATATACATCAGTCATATTATATTGTATGTATTCATAACTCTTTAGTTAAAATTTATCCTAACTATTGAATTTAAAATTTGGAATATCAACATTATACAATGTTATTATTATTATGTAAACAGATTAAATACTAATTCATTTCTATACGTTTTAGTCGGTTTACCATAGCGTAGCACTCATAGTTGTCAATATTGTTATTTTATCTAACTATACCTATCTTGTAACTATAACATAACTTTAATTTGATAGTTGATATGTACCTATAACCTATAGGCTATTATAAGTACTCCATCATCATTATTGTGTAGTAAACCAAGTATATTACTGTTGGCTGGTAGGTGTATATAAAATATGAACATTGATTGTTGTAATGTTGGTAATAATTACATAAAAATAGAGATGAAATTACATATTGTTGTTAGTTAGTTCGTAGATTTAATGTGCGTATAAATACATAGTGAAAGAAATATAATATTACTGTTACCTCATTCAAGGGAGAGAGGAGACAAAAAACGTTGGTAAAAAATTATAAATTATTGATTTATGACCTTAAGATGCACCTTATAATAATGACTAATGCAGTACATATTATTATTGCACTATAATTTTTTTAATACTTTAATTGAGTTCCTATACTCATAGAAAACTATTTTTATTTCAAACAACAGCTTATAAGTTATGTAATACATAGCTATAGGTACATACAGAATGAAACGCTTATTTTTAAATATTCATAAAGGGAAAATGTCAGATTCACTAACATTTGTAATTATAGTAAAATAATTAGGTAGGTACCTTCTTATATTAAATTTATTAATTTTTACCAACTGTCATTTAGTTTTGAAGATAGTCGAACATTTTTTTGTATCTTATTATATTATATTATTATTACCCAAGTCAAGTTAAATAAATATTTCTTTAGAATTGCATAACTAACGAAATGTATTATATGTTTATTATACATGTAATTTTACATTGATGAATAATATATATTGCTATATAGCAGGTATACCTTTATAAAAAATATAAATTATGAGCACCTTATTTGTACCTAGGTACCTATAAACAAACAAATAGCAGTTACAACAGTCAACAAAGTAACATAATGGAATTTGTACAATAATACAACGTACGTTTTTCTTCCGTTAATTCGATATTATTATAGCAATTCAAATTATTGAATTAAATTTTAAAAAAAACTTCTAAAAATGGAAAACGGTTATGACATTATTTCATTTCAATTTATAATTTTGACTTCTAATCTATGGAATATTTGATTTTCTCGTCTGTGGTGTACAAACTATGCGGCCGTATAAATGTATATACCTATATAAGCATTGTTTACAAAAGTACCTATTATAAATTATAATATTACATTACATTATACGGTACTTTCTCTACTACTGAATACTGGCATTATAAAAATATGTGTTAAAAAAAGGACTTGTAGGGCCCGAATTATTGTTTCATACTTATAGGTACAAATAATCTTATGCAACGTTATTGAGTTTTAGAAGCAGCTATTAAATTATAATACGGAGCTTATGGTAGATGCGAAAAAAACCATTATTTAATAATGGGCAATATAATATTATAATAATGGTGTAATATTCATGGACATTTTTTTTTTAATCTGATAAATTTTTATATTTTTATTTTAAAACAATAATGATATATATATATATATATATACCGTGATAATGAGATTGGAGACAAAATTATAGGTTGGTTCGTGTAATGTAAAGTACCTATCCACTTTCTCTCGACGAGTTGAGACCCACCTCTATAATAGGTGGATACATATTTGTTCACAAGGAAGTTCTTCTTTGATACCGGTTGAATGTCACATATTATACAATATAGCCAGCCGAGCGGCAAAGCACACACATACGTGTTATAACTTTCAGTATAGTATTGTAAGTTATAGCTAGTTGAATATATATTTATATATTATATATAACAATATAAGGTATTACTGGTCACGACCTTCAAAGCCATGTACGTTTTACGTTTATTGAATCGTATACACATATATAAAGGTGTATATGTCTACTAAAGAAGCTGCATTTCGATCATAAAACAAATACGTCATGTTTTCATTATAAATTTAGATTTACTATAACTCTTCCTTTCTCGTCGTATATATGTATATATATATATATATATATGTTGGTATCAAAACATTAATCGTTTCGGTGTTTAAAATAAATTCTTGTAGTTGATACTGGCGTAATAATACGTATAATCATGTAGGCACATTATTAGTTGGCGAACAAAGTGTTCACGCCTATTGTGATAAAAGCATATGATAATAGCGCATGCTAAAACAGTTTCGCTTTGATAAATTTGTAGGTAAACAACGACACAACCATTAATTATACAGAAAGGTCTTGCAGATATTTTTGTTATTATCATATTAAGCGGATTCTATACGGGTTACAACGTATTATTATAAACATAAAATATCATATTTCTTACTTCTGTTATTTGTTAAAAGTTTACAATATTTCATTCAGAAAATATTTTATTTTCATTTATTATTTAATAATTGTATTGTATAGCGTACTAATATCCAATGGTGATGACGGTATAATTCAGAGCATTAGAAATTAAAAAGATTAACGCGGTATGGAAAACATGAACATTTCCGGATCGAACACTAAATGTGCGTTTAAACGTGCTATAATAATTTTTATGAGTAATTTTTCAAATAATATAGTAGGTACATATTGTACATCGTACAATGTACACGTATAGATAATAGACTGGAATTTATAAAATAGATATTAGAAATTAAAAATTAAAAATTAAAAAGGAATACTAAAACATTATTTTGGTGTGGGTATAATAGCTTGAAAATAACTAAAATATGTATATATAATAAAACCTATCCGTATTAGAATAATTACAATGAATTAATTATAGAGAACATGAGTTTAAAAATGTATCTGTAAAAAACCAAACGTAATAATGTTTATAATATTAAATTATCCTCTATAGTATCAACTCCATCACGTCTATAAAGAGTTAATATAAATTAAACATTAGTGTGTGATGTAATGACTATAATTTAATTGGATATAATCTGGACTTGAAAGATCGGACTTGTTTAGTTGTGCACTAGTCTTGTCTTAAAACAAAATTTAAAAATAGAAACTCGTTATTTTCTCCATACTAATTTTCACACAAATGTGCGCATTCATACATTTTTATTTGTTTGGACAAACTATAACAGAAACATTTTTCCTTTCTACAATATATTTCAATAAAACTTTGTCAAGGACCTAGACCAAGAGTCATAGTTTCTATTATAGGTTAAATATACTTGTTTTTCACTCCCTATATCTATTTTTAATGGATACTTCACATTCTTTATCCTTGAGCTGTTCAAGATTTTACTCGATAAATCTAAAAAGTATAACAATAAAAATAAAAGCCTCATTACTTTTACATTAACTTAATTATGGAAATTACATGTTATTATGTAAACTATGTAGGTGGTTTTATTATTTACAATAACATATTGGATTATTGAGTTGAATTTATAAAACATATTTTATTTAATATTTTTATTGCAATATACTGATTTATGTTAACCACAAAATATATTGCTGCGATATTAATTTGAAAAATTAGCCATTCAGCAATTTAAGCAGGAGTATCAACTAAAATATTTTATAAAGAAAGTCAAATCGAAAAATATTCTTGTGACCGAGAGAAAGCTGAATGAGATAAACGAATTTTTACCAGAGTTATCACACTACCAATTACCATTAAAGACATAAGTATTGGTAATTAAGGTACTCGTTTATAATATTTTCTAATTAGTAAAACAAAACGGTTTTTAATTCTTTATTATTGTGTACTTAGTCTAATTTAAAATATTCATATCGTATCTACATGTCATGCATCTATATATAAATAATAGTGAATAGGTGTACGATTTTGAATAGATATGAGCTTATAAGTATGAATAATGATGAATTGATGTTTAAACAATTTAAATTATAAAATAACTGAATAAATATTATGTAAAGTTTATTTTTTATTAAATCGATGTACATAATACTATATGATAAAGAGTAATTTTAGAAATATTTATAAATTGAAATTTCAAATATTTAATATCCCTCTTTTATTCCACTTTATAAGAACTGTTAAGAATTTGAAATATGTTAAATAAAGATTGTTATACTTTTATCTTCTCAAAAATAAAAAATAAAAGAATACTTAATTTATTAATGTAATGCTTTTCATATTTGGTATTAATTTTAATTTTTAAATATAAATTTACCTTGTGGTTCGTTTAGCTTATGGCCAGTTCTAGGGATGACTGTCTGACTTTGAGTTGCGACAAAACACATGAACAACGCCAGGAACAGAATTATACTTCTAGCAGCGGTATACGTCCAAGAATTCATATTTGCACGATTTAAACCACTTTAGTATGTTGTATATACACTTTACTTCAAAACTCGAATGACTCGATTGTTTAATACTGGAACGAAAACGAAAACTAAATCAAATAATAATAAAAAAAAAAATTCGCGATCTATGGTGTTATTATAACAGTCGCACCACGGCCACGGTGGTAGGTTAGGTACGGTATAAGTGCTAGTAATATCTGGATAGTTCATCCATTTCGTGCACGATTATCGTTCGTTATACTGTGGACAATCGTGTGAGGAGTACTTTAGAAGGAGAAATTTATTCCTCGGCCGCCACTGCCGACGAGTGGGCAACGCGATGCTGCAAATAAGACCACTTTCGATCTCCGACGCGCGGCGATACGCATGCATAAGCGGCTGGCGTTAAAAACCGGTACACACACACACACACACACACACACACATTGTCGTGCTTGCTGGTCGCTGCGGATATCAAACACGAGGTATAGCATTGCAGTGGGCATAAATGTATAATAACTATACTTAAACAGAGGAGTAGACCGGACAATCGACATTAAATACATTATAAATATATATGTTTATAATATATGGTCTCATCTCATTGCACTGGATAAACATGTATTATTACCGCATTATTCTGGACATGCGTTTTTTCAGGTTTGAAATTCTATAATAATATAATATAATGTATAATATTACATATAATAATAAATTCTATAGTACATAATTCCAGGAGGATTCGATCGATATAATCCATTTCATGTAAAATATATATATATTGTATACTAATATTATTATATACGTCACATCACAGCTACAAACGTAAAATAAGACACATTTTATATGTCGAATAATCATTAAGTATTTTTCCTGAAATAATAATTTAACCTATACATTGAATCCTACAGTAACAACATTTAATATAATATCTGCAAACAAAATTGAAATAATGAGGGTGGGTTTTTACCTATAATAATTAAATTGATCACTCACTAAACCAAATGCATTCTTAAAAATTGGATTTTCAATTAATCAGTTTTTGTATTAAAAATAACGATAGATACCTATATGGACTAAGAATTTTGTATTTACGTAGTACATTAAATATTTATTGTATTAACTAGATTGAATTTTTATTATGTATAGTCTGCGATCAGGTTTATATAGAAAATCTATAAAAAAAGAAAAAGAAATAGAATTATTTTATTTGTAATAATAGTAAAAAATATTAATAATATATAGAAACACCAAAAATTGATTTTTTACTTTATAAGTTCGTTATGTATGTCTAGAGCCAACTAAGCTTCACAAAACAGTGATTTATAAAACTACTGATTATATGTCTCTCAGTAATTGTTTTTAACTTTTAACAGTATTAATAATATGTCAATATTATATCACTAATTCACTATGACTATATGTATATTGAAACGAGACGAATGCTCACTCTCATGAATGGTTTTTGCAAGCTTGCAGTATTGAATCCAAATTTGTACATTGGTTTTAATATTAAATTTCATTTATTAATTTTATTGATAGTATATAACATTTTATGTAGGTATATAGATATATATATATATATATATATAAAATATGTTTATACATGAACTAGTCTTACGTAAGTACTTTTTTTATTTTTATGTTTAAACGTATAACGCCTGAAGAATATTATGTCACGTAAGATATAACCAAAAATATTTAAAAATTTTTTTTTATGACATCAACTAATGTAGACCATATACGCAAAGCAAAAACTTGAACCACTACAATATTTGATGTGTAAAAGAAGATCTTTGGATGTGCATAATAATAAGATACATACATACAATTATATAAGAAGGTATAGACCGGATCCGCCAGCCACTACCACCCTATACATAACTTATATTTCGATTTTAGTAAACAGTATTAAATTTCTAAAACGAAACACAGAGGGGTGAATTTGAGGCAGAAGAATAGTAAGGTCGTGCTGTTACATACTTTACTTATAAAATAGCTCTGCAGATTAGACTGGTGAATAAGTATACCATTAATTAATCAATTAATAATTAAGTTAAGGTTGTTTTTTATTATTCAAAAAATATTTAAAGTCGAATTTAGTGCTACCATGCTCATGAACCACGAACCATGAAAAACGATCTCATGGTTCTTATAGAACAATGAGATTTTATAATGTTATAAAAGAAGAAATGTATGATATAAATTTAGAAGAAATTGTAGATGAAACCGTTTTTTTCTAGACTATTTTGATTTTACAAAAGATATAAATGTAAATTTATATTACGCCTATATACTTTTTTTTAAATTGAGATTTTAACGTTAAAAATATTATACCTCGATACGTTTCTTGTATAACAATGTAAAATTTGGTGCGGGAAAAATATTTTTAAACCTAATTCTAATGTAAACTTAAGTATACCTACATTTGATTATAGCTTGATATTGTTGGCTAAGAGAGCAGTATAGGGAGAAAAGTTAATACCAAGAGTTGAAAAAAGGATTTTTAATTGATTCCTTTGCTGAGAGAGTGATTTACAATAAAGTATTTTGAAAATCACAGTAAGACCCACCACAGTTGATATGTGCCAATTGAGTCCAAATTTGAATGAACTATGTGGTAAGAGATTGTGCCCAGTTTGTAATATCGTGTATTTTGATTATGGTAGCGTGACTAATTTTAAATTATCGAAACTATGGTCGAATAGGAATAATTATTGTAGATATAATTTTACATCCAAATGTGTAAGAATCTGGTTATTATCCTATTCTAGTTTTCGTAATTCTTGAATAAATTTCAGGTGTAGAGAGATCAAGTCCGTATAAGTCATAGGGGTAAGGGCACAATTGAAGACCGGCATGAGAGTCGTTAACAAACAACAGTAAAGCCAGCCTGATGGTTAGCTTGCTAGTTTCCATTAATACCTATGTGTCCGGGAGTCCATAAGAAATAAATTGTGTAAGAACTGATGTTGAGGGAGAACAGATAGACTCGAACTCTTAAGATGATATGATGAAAGAACACTTGGGAAGGAAGAGGAGATATTAGCAATTGTAAATATACTGGTTCAAGAGTCCGAATTAGGAAATTGCCGAGGGGAGAGAGTCAAACAATACGAAAGCTTCTAAGATAGCTCTGTATTCGATCGTGAAGAAAGATGCGTTGGAGGTAAGTTGGAGGCTGATTGTAGATGGAATTTGCGAATAATATAAGCGTAACCCGTCCATGCTTGCGTAACCTATCTACCTGTTAAGGCTAAAGTGCTTGAATTAAAGTGGCCCATGATAAATTTTCTAAATAATCCCTTGATTATATGTAAAGATGTAAAACGTAGAAGGGCTAGCTTAGGAAGTTAGGTGCAAGGTGCAACCATAACTGATAGCACGGAGAAAAGGGCATCGTAGTGTAAGGCATAACGCCGTTGTTTGTGTACTTGATAAACGTACGGGAGAACAGCTTAGAATGATTGTATATTTGTATCATAAAAGAAAGTAATGGAGTGAATCTCCAGACCAATAATTTCCATTTGGGGTTAAAAATATCAATTATTGAAGGGAATGATCGAGATTCGTACTTCAAGCAGAGGCGCCGACTTTTAGATATTAGCGCGGGGGCAAACTCTTCTATTAAGTGAAAAAAA